TTGGAAACTCTTCATGTCCTGCTGTCACTATGAGTTGGTTGATGGCCAATGGTTTTTACAGTAGAAACAACACACATTTAAGAATATTCTTTTTAACAATAACCTTCCCTCCATACATCCCCTTCTCATTTTGTTTCTATATCTCTGGTAGCGTAGTGGTTACGAATCGGGCTGTGAATCTTAAGGTCAGCAGTTCGAAACTACCAGCTGTTTCGCGGGAGAAAGATGAAGCTTTCTGCTCCCGTAAAGATTTACAGCCTCAGAAACCCTGTTCAGGGTCACTATGGGTCGGAACCAACTCGATGGCACTTAACAATTGTTTAAATATTAGAGAGATAATAAAATTAACAAAAAAAAAATTATGTATAAAGTTAGCAGTAAAGGCACTACATGCTTATAGTTAAGAGAACAACACAAAATGACTAGAGAAAAGTGTAAGAAAGTTATTCTAGTTTTGCATCAAATACTGGTTGTTGTTGTTGTTATGTGCCGTGGAGTCAACTCCGACTCAGAGAGACCCTGTACAGGGTTTCCGAGGCTGGAAATCTTTACGGGAACAGAAAGCCTCATCTTTCTCCCACGGAACAGCTGGTAGTTTCGAACTGTCGACCTTGCGGCTCACAGCCCAATTCGTAAGCACTATCTTTACGGGAGCAGAAAGCCTCACCTTTCTCCCGCGTAACAGCTGGTAGTTTTGAACTGCTGACCTTGCAATTCAATTCTCTTGCTTTTCCACCCTCTATAGCCTCCACTCTCCAGCCACTAAGCCATAACTAAGTCAATATAAGTCCAAGGCACAGATGATAACCTACATGTCCTTACACTTCTCTAGCTGTACCAGTCAATGCTCACTTAACATCTAACTTGTTTAACAAAGGAATCACTACTACCCTTACTCTCCCCTTCTTTCTTACACTGTTTGTTTGAAGTCACCTCAAGCTCTCAAGAAATCTCTATACTGGTTATCTTAATTTCTTTATAGTTCTTTCTACATAAAAATCTTAAAAACAAATGGCAACAACTGATCATTTTATAACTGGACATTCATATAAATCTCACTAAAATCTGATTTAGTTTAGATCTATTTTTAATATACTTAATATCTATTTATGAGTCTCTCTATGAGGGACAAGTCGCTGAGAAGGATATCATGTTTGGTAAGGTGGAGGGTCAGAGAACAAGAGAAAGACCGCCAACGAGATGGATTGGCCAGGTGGTGGCATCGATGGACTCAAGCGTGACAACAGTAGTGAGGCTGGTCCAGGATCCGGCAGTGTTTTGGTCAGGTGTGCACAGGGTCGCTATGAGTTGGTGCCGACTCGATGGCACCTAACAACAATAACTATGTTGGTATAATTCTAATTGTTACTCTTCCTTACTGGAATTTGACTTCAAAGCCCTGTTCAAAAATGACTAATAAGAAACCAGTAAGGTGTAATTAGCTGTTGCTGTTATGTGCCGTGGAGTCGGTTCCGACTCATAACGACCCAGTACAGGGTTTCCGAGATAGCTCTACCTTAAAAAAAAATTCTGAATTTTAGCTAAAGGATAAGCACTTGACTGCTAACCACAAGGCTGGTAGTTCAAATCCACCAGCTGATCTGCGGAAACCCTATATGCAGGTCAGAACAGACTAGATAGCACTTAATCACCACCACCTTAAAAAACACTTCTGAAACTTAAAACCAGTAAAATAAAATGAAAACGTCATTTTAACACAATTGTTTCATATGTTGTTGTTAAATACCTCTGAGTCAGTTCCGACTCATAGTAACCATACAGCACAGGATTTCTGGGTTTGACGCTCCGACTTTGAGGTTAGCAGTCCAGTGCTTATCTGACAGCATCACATATGTTCCATATTGTTGTTGGTGTTAAGTGCCGTTGCACTGACTCTAACTCAGTGATGCTATATAGGGTTTCCAAGGAGCAGCTGGTGAATTTGAACCAGCAACCCAGTGGTCCAATGCATTGTCCCACAGCGCCACACTGGGACTCCCATGTTCCATGTTGTTCCGTGTTGTTGTTAAGAGTCGTCGAGCAGGTTCCAAATCATAGCAACCCTGTTAGGAGTTCCATGGAGAAGTTGGTGGGTTTGAACTGTCCACCTTGTGGTTCACAGCACCACACCAGAAGTCCATATACAATGGATTAAATGTTTTGAATTCTTGCCTCAAACTAACAGTACTAAGATACAGAAACAAGATGCTGAAGATAGCATTCTCTTTAACAATGAACATCATGAAAATGAACTCAAAGAAGTACATTTTCAGATACATACAACATCTACATTCCCTGGAGTCCTAGTGTGGTGCCAAAGGTTAAACACTGAACTGCTAATCATAAGGTTGGGGATTCTAACCCATCAGCCACTCTCCAGGACCCCTATATATACAGAGTCACAACTAACTCCACACACTAACAACATTGCATTCCCTTAAGAAATAAACCGGAATATAGCAAACACAGTTAAGCCACCTATACAAATAGAACATTGGTGGTGGTGGCTGTGTGTCGTTAAGACTGTCCCAACTCATGTGACCCTGTACAGGGTTTCTAACACTTACTGTAAATATTTCTGGGAACAGGAAGCTTCATCTTTCTCCCAAGAAATGGCTGGTGTAGATTTGAACTGCTGACCTTGTGGCTAGCAGCCCAACTAGTAAACCACTACATTATCAGGGAATCTTAAACATAATATCAGCTTTATGACAACAATATACATATGTGAAAAGTCCCTAAAAAGTTATGTAAATCTCATTGTTGCTGCTGTGTTGGTTCTGACGCATGTTGTTGTTGGTAAGTACCATCAAGTTGATTCCGACCCATAGTGACCCTGTACAGGGTTTCCAAGGAGCAGCTGGTGAGCTTGAACCACCGATCTTGCAGTTGAAGTTCAAACAACTTTGCAGGCTGACACATTAGGCCACAGCGCCACACCAGGACTCCATAGAAACCCTGAAAAGGACTTCCAAGCAGCAGCTGGTGGGTTTGAACTGCTGACCTTGTGTTCAAAGTCCAGTGCTGATCCTAGGGCAACACCAGGAGTCCACATGAATCTTAAAGAGCACAAATATTTTATTGGAACTGTCAAAACGCACCTCTGAACTTCAATAAATAGTTACAAAAAACGTAACAAAAGGAAACACAACCTTCTTTAGGTTTCAATTAGCCTTTCAGAGTCTGGTGGCTAAGTGCCCTGGACTCACAGGGTTTCCAAGGCTGTAAATCTTTACGGGAGCAGAAAGCCTCATCTTTCTCGGGGGTGGGGGGGGAACAGCTGTAGTTTCGAACTGCTGACCTTGCAGTTCGCAGCCTGATTTGTAACCAATACGCTACCAGACATTTTATGTAGAGTCACACAATTGTTTGGGTGTCCAAACACTTTAGACAAGACAACTGCATTTTAACTTTCCTCCTTCAACTTATTAATACTAAGCAGTAAGGAAGTGCTCAGGAAGAATTTGATTCTATTACTTATTAAACCAGTTAACTATTTCTGCACACATTTAAGTTTCTCACACATAACTGATTTCCCAGTATCACTGTTAAAAGACTACATTGCAAGGCATACTTCTACCTAATCAATTGATCTTGTGCAGCAATTCCAAAAAGGTTGGGAATTCTGTTTCTTAAACAATCAGAAACATAGAAAACTTCATAAAATCAGAGGGTGAAACCTAACACTGCATCTTCACTAAGAGACAAAAAATCAATTTCATTTGTTGACCACCAGCTAAAAACCATTTTGTCCTCACCTCTCTCTGCAAGGCAAATTATTATACCTGTTGTAGAGAAGAGAAAACTAAGAGTTTAAAGAGCTAGATGGAACTCAGGTCTTGCTAATAAACACCATGACCCCTTGATCCACCAAAAATACAGTCAACTTAGGTTCTAGGTGAGCAGAAAGTTTTTCGTTTTAGCTCAGCATGATGCCAATCTTGTTGCAGAACAATTCCAGAACGTAAGCAATAAACTTACACACATGCCACTTTTAGATTCTTGACATAAAATTGTTTCAATTCAGTGTGTCTTTGCAATGACAAACACAAAAATGGGTCTGAGAGTTTATCGTGCAGAGTTTTGAAATACTGTTTAACTGCAGAACAGATGACAAACATTCTTTCAATGTGGACAGTCATTTGTCTTGAAATCCTACTTGGAAGTGGTGGTGGTGGTGGTGGTGGTTTAGGTGGACCATAGAAGGTTCCTGTACTACAATTCCAGGACTTCTACCAAAGGGGGACCCAGGAAATTTGTGGAGTTGAGTTTGCACCAGGATCTGAAGAGTTCTAAAGCAGAAACAGTTTCCATCATAGGTCACACGTGCAATCTGCGTAGGACCGGTCGGGTGGCGGGATTCAAGATAGATACAAATAAAGGGCTAACGATTCTGGAGGGAAAAGAGGCAAATGATTCATTTTCACCATTACTCACCTCTGAACACCGCGGCAGACGAAACCTGAGGCTTTCCCCCCCCGTAAGGCTCACCATCTCCTAGACCTTAACTCCTAACCAGGTCCACCGGAGCCACACGGCGAACCTCCTCCACCACCTGTGAACCCAGGCCGGAGAGCCCAGCCCCACGGCCGCGCGACTCCCCTCCGCCTCGGGCCCCACCGGCGTGCTCCACGCCATCTGCTACCAGGCCTTGGGCGTCCCGCCGCCGCGTCCCAGGCCCCGACCACAATGCCCGTAGCCCATCCCAAAAGGTGCGGGGCCGAGACCCCAGGCCCTGCCGCGCTGCCAGCCCGCAGGCCGCGCTTAACGCCGACATTCAGGCGCCCCCAGGCCGCGAAGCGGACTCTCCCCGCCCGGGCGACCGCAGGGCCCAGCACATGACCGAGAACGGGTCCCGCGCGCAGCCCCTGGCCCAAGCCGGGCGGGCACCTCGCGCTCCCCGCGGCCCACACGCGGCCGCCCCCTCTCCAGGCCCGGCGCTCGGGCGGCCCACACGCGGCCGCCCCCGCTCCAGGCCCGACGCTCCCCTCCGCTCGTACCGTTTCTTCGGGGTCGATATCGATTTTGAAGGTCTGTTGCTGGAGGGTCTTCAGAGTGACCTGCATGGTGCTATCGCTCAGCTCCACTGCCGGGCCTGCTCCGGGTGCTGGCCGCTGGGCGGGGTCTGTGGCCTGGCCGGGCCCCCGGGGTCGCCGGCGCTTCTCGAGGACTCAGGAGGAAGGCGGTGGGGGTGGGGGGCTTGTCACATTCGCCCTGCGGGGCGGCCTCTCCCCCAGGCCGAGCCGCTGCCTCCGCGACTGCGGCCTTCCACGCGAGCTCGGGCTGTGTCCGACGCCAGACACTGAGTCTGCAAGAGGCGCAGAGCGACAAGCAAGGAATCCGCTAGCTCACCACAGGATGGTCGCCGCCATCATCGTGACTCGCCGAGACGCGCCCCCTCCCCCACCCGAAAAACCCGAGGATGGGGCCAGGCGGGCGAAATGCGCAGGCGTAGGGTGCGGCGAGGATGTGCGCCTGCGCGAAGAAGAGCTCCTCCCTGGAATTGAGGGCGGAGTGTATTGTGGCTCAGGAATGTCGGCGGACTAGATCAAGTGTGCGCAGGCGCACGCCGAGAACGTCCCGGGCTTCCAGGCTCAGGGTTTCCCTCTCGTGTTTGCAACCTCGGCGTTCTCCCAGCCCGTCGCCGCGCGCCTTATACCCACACCCCGCAGGGCTGCCGGAGTTGCGCAATCCATAGCCGGGGAAGCGCTACGTGGAAAGCAGCAGTGGATACTGCTCCCCAGAGCTGGAGAACTAAAGGACATTAGATCGGTACGGAGTTTAAGTGAAAGGGTCTAAGTGTCCGCGGTAATGGGCCCTTGCTATGTGACTAACGCTATGTGATGTTGACTGCTTCGTTAATCCTGAGAGCACCCACCACTTCACATTTTGCCTTCTTTTGTAACTCATCTTGTGAACTTGGGCCAAACTGGAAGAATATAACGGAAGTCGAGTAACTCCCTTGCGCAGAAATCTCCAGTAATTCCACATTTCACCCAGACCTAGAGCAACAATCTAAAATTTTTACAAGCGGCCACTAGACCCTTAGCTTCCCCTGCATCTCCTTTTTCCCACTTGTTGACCAATGCAAGGCATGCTCATGCCGAAGGCCTTCTTTACACTTGCTGTTCCTGCTCCCTGATAGCTCTTTCCCAAATAATCTGGACCTCTCCATTCTCCCTCCTTCAAATCTTCCATCAAATATCTTCTCAGCGAGGTCTGTCCTGGACACCATATTTAAAGTCACAACTTTTCTATCTCCGTTCTCCTGCGGTTTGTTTTGTTTTCTTTTCTTTCTTAACTTTTTCATTACTATACAAGGAACTCTGGTAGCATAATGGTTACGTGCTCCGCTGGTAACAAAAAAATTGGGGGATTGGAACCCACCTGTGGCTCTGTGGGAGAAAGATGTGGCAGTCCACTTCCGTAAAGATTACAGCCTTGGACACTCAGTTCTACTGTGCCCAAAGGGTGTCTGCAGTGGACTTGTGGGCCATGAGTTTGGTTTGGGTTTAATTATTATACAATGTACATGATTATTATGTTTATGGTTTTTCCCTCTGCTTCTCTTTCCCAAACTGAAACTGCACAAAGGCGGGGTTTTGTCTGTTTCATTCATCCATTTTTTCTTGGCAACTAAGAAACATACCTGGCGTGTAGCAGGCACGCAATAACTCTATATGGTATGAGTGAATCTGGTTCTTGTTCCTCATCAGTAAAATGAGGAGAATAATAGTATTCAGTTCATTATTTGAGGAAGTATTGCATAATATATGTAAAATCGTAGTAATATAATACAAGGGGGCTTCAGAAAGTTTGTGGGAAAATGAAACAAAAGATCATGGAATTTTTCCACGGACTTTTGAGGCCTCTATCCATCGATTTCTATTATTGGTATCCTCATTTACCATTAAGGAGCTCTGGTAGCATAATGGTTACCAGTTGGGCTGCTAACTACCAGGCTTTGTGCTCCTGTAAAGATTTACAGTCTCCGAAACCCTATACAGGGTCACTATGAGTGGGAACCAACTCCACAGCACATAATCAATCAAGTCAATTATTTACCATTGAGGAAATTGAAGGACAGAGATGTTGAGTAATGTGCCTTGTTGTTAAGTGCTGAGGAATCATTTGGACTCATAGTGACCCTATATAGGGTTTCCAAGGCTTCGTTTTTGGTTTTCATATCTTTGTGGGAGCAGAAATCGTCATTTTTCTCCCACAGAGCAGCTGGTGGGCTCAAACCACTAACCTTGTGGGTTTCAGTCCAGTGCTTACCCTGTGAGTTACCCAAATAATAAGTGGGAGATCCAGAATTTAATTCAAGCAGAATGACTATAGAATCTGCTATTTGATGCTTATGGACTCTGCTTTTTATTAGCGTTCCTGTGGCGTTTAACTTACAGTGAGTGGTTCAGGTATAAACCACTCACTAACCGACCAATTGCAAATTTCTTCTCTGGGCCAGCATCCTCACTGATACAGTGGCATTGCTTTGTTTTTCATTTTTCAAGGATCCTAGGAGTTCGGATCGAATTCTTCCTTGGTCACTAACCTAGTATTTCCCCTGTCACAGTCCTTACCTCACTACATTGTAATTAGCAATCTAATCTCCTCTCATGTCCTCATGTACATCTTGATCAATAGATGATCTCATCCTTTTCCGTATTTTGAAATACCTCCAGCCTGAACCTCACCCATAACTACAAATGTTGTTGTTAAGTGCTGTTGAGTCGGTTCCAACTCATAGCAACCCATTATAGGGTTTCCAAGGAACAGCTGATGAGTTTGAACCGCCGACCTTGCAGTCCTGGTTTATCCTACAGCACCACACCAGGATTCCATAGCTACAAACAGAGGTAGCCAATTGCTTATAAAATACCTGCATTTGAAACCTAATAAGCCTCTGATACTTACTGTCACCAAACAACCATGGATTTCCCTCTGTACCCACCCATTCCCCACTCCCTACCTACAGTTTTCCTCTGTTAGTTTATGGCGTGGCTCTATCCAGGTGCTTAGGCCTAAGCTTTAGTTGGCATCCTTAATAAGTCTCTTTTCTTCCCTACAAATAATCATCACATTCAATATATAGATTATCAAGTCCTAACAAGGAGCTCTGGTAGCGTAGTGGTTACGAATCAGGCTGCGAACCTCACGGACAGCAGTTCGAAACTACCAGCTGTTCCGCGGGAGAAAGATGAGGCTTCCTGCTCCCGTAAAGATTTACAGCCTCAGAAACCCTGTACAGGGTTGCTATGAGTCGGAACCGACTCCACGGCACATAACAACAACTGTATGGTGTGGTGCTGTGGGTTAATGCACCAGGCTGCAAAGCCGTTTGAACTGCAAAGTTGGCAGTTCAAGCTCACCAGCTGCTCCTTGGAAACCCTATATAGGGTCGCTATGGGTCAGAAACAACTCGACGGCAAATCACAACAACTTGATGGAGTCTGGTGTGGCACTGCGGGTTAATGCGCTGGACTGAAAGATCAGCTTGAACCATAAGGTAAGCGGTTCAAGCTCACCAGCCGCTCCTCGGAAATCCTATACGGGGTCACTATGAGTTGGAAACAACCTGATGGTACTAAACAGCAACAACTTTATACTCCAAGCTGTACCCCAAATTCAGCCATTTTCCTACCATTTCTAATTCTGCAGTCTTGAACTAAGCCACCATTTCCAAACCTCACCTGCCTCTGATCTGTTCTCTCCACTTTCATTCTTTTATCCCAGCGGTTTCTTCAGCAACCAGAGTGGTCATGTTCAACCATGAATCTGATCATGTCCTATCTATGCTTTAGATAGGACAGTTCCAATTTAGAGTAAAATTCTAAAGTTCTTTACTAGCCTTGGAGAGCACACATCATCTGACTTGTCACATTTGCTGATTTCATCTCTGCTCTCTCTCCCTCAGTCACTGACATTCTCTGCACTGCTCTCCCTCAGTCACTGACATTCTCTGCACTGCTCTTTTTCCCTCAGACAGCCTGGTTGTAACCTCTGGGCCTTTGCACCTGAGGTTCTTTCAGTTGGAAACACTCTTGCTAGATCTTTCAATGGCTAACGCTTTTTCACCTACAGCGTCCAAATCAAATTTTACTTCCTTAGGAAGCACTTCTCTAAGACTGTTCATAAGGTATGATTAACATATATAAACCATCACTCTAGGCAAGAAGTCCTAGTGTGGCACTGTAGGATAAACACTGGACTCCCAACTGCAGGGTTGGCAGTTCAAACCCACCAGCCTTGGAAATACTTTATGGCACTCAATGACACTTAACAAACACCAACTCTAGGCAAGACCCTGTTCTAGGCAATACAGGGTAATCTCATTTGTTGTTGTTAAGTGCCATCGAATTGGTATCAACCCATAACGACACCATATAGGGTCTCCAAATAGCAGCTAGTGAGCTTGAACCACTGACTTTGTGTTTCAAATCGACTTTGCAGTCCAGTGCATTAACCCCACAGTGCCACAGAGATAGGTACACATTACCATGGTTTCACATTTTTTATGGCTCCATCTGAAATTGTTCTTTTTAAAAAACTTGTTTACTGCCTGCTCTCTTTCCCTTCAGAACTCCTGGCATGGCACTGTAAGATAAGCGCTAGACAGTGAACCTCATGGTCGGCAGTTCAAACCTACCACATGCTCTTTGGAAACCCTATTCAGGGTGGCTGTAAGTTGGAACTGACACGATGGCACTTACAACAATGAACAATTCCTTCTTCTCAGGTTTTCTTCTTAGGGAGAGGAACTCTGCCGTAACGGCTGTATCTCCAGCACCTAAAATATTCTCTGGGACATAGCACTTGCTCAGTAAGCATATGTTGACTGACGCCCCCGAACTAAATTGTAAGCTCCATGAAGCCAAGTGTTTTGCTCAGTCTTCTTCATCATGGAATCTTCAGCATTTAGCACAATGTGGTGTTTGATATTTTGTGGTTGGAATAAATAGTGAAGTCACTTTATAATTTACAACAGTTGTAATAAAATAAAATAAAGTTGTAATAAAAAACATTTAAAAAGCTGGACTATGTTGTACAATGTTGTTATAATATT